ACCACTGTCCTGATATCATTAGTCTGTATTGTTTTAGGAAAACTGTCACATGATAATAAACAAAAATGTATCAGTACTCGTACTTGTAAGTACTCGGCAAGTACCAGTACTCGTACTCGCAAAACTGGTATTTGTGCATCCCTTTATTTATATTTATAAAAACAAAATCGTACATTAAAACAGAGATGTACAAATCCCAGGAGCTCCGTGTGCTCCTTGCAAATGACAGCGGCCTCCTAATTTTTACATTTTTCTCTAGTGTAGTCTTGGAGCTCAAAAGTATCGGTACTTGTACTCGTACTTGTACCGAGTACTGTACTTGGTATCGGTGCAACCCTAAGTGTAAGTATCGGAGCATTTGAGCGAGTACTCGCCCAAATGCTCAGTATGGGCACCAACACTGATTCCAGTATCGGTATCGGTGCATCCCTAATTATAATAATTAGAGAATGTAGATTTTACAAATGGTCTTCAAGCTATCACTCACCTGCACTGTTTTCCTGGTTTCAGTGTACACTGCAGACCCTCTCCAGCATTGGCACTGTAACAACAGGTGTCATTGTCATTCATCCCCACGTCGCATTGTTCCCCGGCTTCTACGATTTGGTTACCGCACGTTGGCCGGTCACTCTCTGCGAGGAAAATGTAAAGGAATGCACGAAGACTTATACAGATTATTACTATAAACACACAGTGTGCACAGCGTCCTAATTCAAAGACAAATCTCCCATTTCCATACCTCCATCTGATGGGATCGGTGTACCTTGTAGACCAGCCGCCTCAGATAGTTTATCAAGAAATATAACTTTATAGGGGGCGCTCATCAAACATCCATTACCAGGGTGACTACGTTGATTGTACATTGTCCCACTTGTATGTGAGGATGTACAGTATATGTGAAAGGTCAGGTTCTGGTTGAGCACCCCCATTGTCTGATTTCAGTAGTAATATTGGTACCGTGTTCCCCCGAAAATAAGACCAGGTACTATTTTTGGGAATTGCTAAAATATAAAAGACCTACCCCGAAAATAAGACCTTTCCCAGGGCCGGTGGTGGCATAAGGGAGAACATGAAGAGCCCCGGGAGAGACAGGAGAGAATCACCTGGTCCCCCTATTCTTAACTTTGCCATTTTGGATTATTTAATTTGGATAAGACCTATACGCTGTATTACCGCTTTGTTAACCCCGATCCACACTTGGGAATACCAATGTAAACGCACTGCAAAACGCCCCAAAGAAGCTCCTGTACTTCTTTGGGCGTAGGGCGTTTTTCAGCGCGTTCATACGCGCTGTAAAACACCCAGGTGGGAACCATGCCCATAGGCAATCATTGGTTTTCACATGTTGAGCGTTTTACAGGGCGTAGGAACGCGCTGTAAAACGCCCAGGTGTGAACCAGGCCTAAGTGACATAGCTCCCAGTCAGCGCTGGAGGATCGGACAGGGGAGGTGGAATCCCTGCAGGGAGCCGTGAGTGACAGGGCTCTGTGCAGGGACAGGATTGAGAAGTGAGCGAGCGACGGTATGTGTTCTCTTACTTCCCGATCTATTAAGCCGACCTGTGACAGTTTCATTGTCACACGTCCGCAGAAACTATGAGTGACTATGAGTGATTTTCACACCCCTCAGAGTTCTCCTTTAAATTTAAAAAAAAAAAAAAAAAAGAACTACCCCGAAAAAAAAACTACCCCAAAAATAAGACCTACCCCGAAAAATAAGAACTACCCCGAAAAAAAGAACTACTCCGAAAAAAAGACCTACCCCGAAAAAAAGACCTACCCCAAAAAATAAGACCTACCCCAAAAATAAGACCTACCCCAAAAATAAGACCTACACCAAAAATAAGACCTACCCCGAAAATAAGACCTACCCTGAAAATAAGACCTACCCTGAAAATAAGACCTTGTGTGTTTTTTTGAGGCCAAAAAAAATATAAGACCGTGTCTTCTTTTTTGGGGAAACACGGTAGTAGTGGTGACGATGCTGCCGAGTGTTATACACAGGACTTACCCACAAAGCATTGATCCTTCTTTGTTTTCAGGAGAGAGGAAATATAATGGACGGAACAAGGAGAAAACTTGTCGTTGTTGTACTGATTTCCATCCACGGCACGCGGGAACATCAAATAATTTCCATACGGACTGCTCACGGCGTATTTTGCGCATTCGGCGTCTTCGTCGTGCTGAAACAAAACAAAACACAAAAGAAAAGGTAAAAGAGCCAAACTGTCCTAAAGTGATATTTTACTTACAAGTGGAATTCTCCTGGCCTGAGAGGGTAACTTTACTGGCTTCAAATAATTATATGGGGGAGGGGGGGGGCCTCTCTGAGGTCTGGTAGTTGTTGCTCTGCCAACCAGCTCTCAAGTGTGCCCAACATTATCAAATACCAGAGCCAACCTCTCAGCAATTGTATCTCTGCGCAGTGTAAATGTTGTACTTGCTAATGTGCTTCACTGTATAGGTTATTCTGCTGAGTCTACTTTATAAAGGGTCATTCCACCCAGAAGAAATATTTTAGTAGCTGGTGGGTTTAACCACCCAAGAGTCTCTCACATATCCTAACTGGTCCATGTTTTTGAGTTTCCGGGTCTGTACACCTGTTGAGCCCATTATGAGGGGCTCCCACTATCCCTGTGCTGAGTTCCCGGGTCTGTACACCCGCTGTGCCCATTATGAGGGGCTCCCACCATCCCTGTGCTGAGTTCCCGGGTCTGTACACCTGCTGTGCCCATTATGAGGGGCTCCCACCATCCCTGTGCTGAGTTCCTGGGTCTGTACACCTGCTGTGCCCATTATGAGGGGCTCCCACCATCCCTGTGCTGAGTTCCTGGGTCTGTACACCTGCTGTGCCCATTATGAGGGGCTCCCACCATCCCTGTGCTGAGTTCCTGAGTCTGTACACCTGCTGTGCCCATTATGAGGGGTTCCCACCATCCATGCCTACTGGAATTTAATTATATCATGGAAAATGTTACATCCGGAGCACAAAAAGATGGGGGGAAAGACACCCAAAACCTTCACATGGACAGGGACAGAGCCGGGAATTATGGCAGGAAGATCTTGAGAACCTGAATGATGTGCTTACTGTAGAGTTTTAGTACCTAGGCAGCCCCTCACCTCTGCAGGTGAGACATACAGGTGAAACTCGAATAATTAGAATATCATGCAAAAGTAATTGCAGTAATTGCTGCAAAAGGGGCCCAAACCAAGTACTGAGTACATATGCATGCTTGTACTTTTCAGAGGTCCGATATTGTTCTATGTACAATCCTTGTTTTATTGATTGCATGTAATTTTTTGAGGTTGTGGATTTGGGGTTCTTGGGGTTTTCATGAGCTGTAAGCCATAATCATCACAATGATGACAAATCACGGCTTGAACTATCTTGCTTTGCATGTAATGAGTCTCTCTCATATATTAGTTTCACCTTTTAAGTTGCATTAGTGAAATAAATGAACTTTGCACGATATTCTAATTATTCGAGTTTCACCTGTAAATCATGCTTTCATTGCCATTCATGTTCTTCCGCCCTCTAGTGGACATTTTATAAACTATTACATGTTTTCTACATTGATAATGACAAGCAATGATTTTATATGTTCATTTTAAATATTATTCGATATGCATCACCCTCAATTTTTGTATTTTTGTCGCCCTGATGAAGGGGGGGATTGCTGAGCCCCCAAAATGCACTGGCTGCCTTTTGTTTGCTCCGGTTGTCATTTGCAGAATTAATAAAACACTATTTTGGACTCTAAGAACATTTGTTTGGTGCCCTTCTTGGCTGAAATACATATTGACATGTTCAGTTCGGGTGACCGATGTACTTAGGAGGGGCCCCCGTTTTGTGGAGAGCTGCTAAACCCAGGTCATTTGTTTTTTTATTAAAGACTTCTTCTACTATCTATCAGAGATCCTTATCCAGCACCTCGCTTCCACCTCTCCTCTGGATGCATGCAAATACAGTCTGGCCAGGACCACCCACTGCTCCAGACTGACATCCCCCCAGCAAGGCATTTTGGTATTTGCAAAACTCCTCCCAAGGGCCAGCCCACTGCTTGCATCAGCTCTGAGGGCTCTAGTGAAGAGTACTGAGGCAGGGTGCTGTGATGTTTTTAAGAAGCATACACCATACAGCCCCCTGCTGGCACCTCCCACCAGCCATGTACAGAGACCCAGTGATGACATCACAGGCTCAGCTCTCTGATTTGCATCCCAGAATAAGGCAAAGTCCCATTTTCGGATCTGACTTACAGGAGAGCCCATGCTGTGTCCCAGTTCATGTGCCAGGGTGATATGGATGACTCTGGGAGGTAGGTACTGCCCGTACTTCTGGATCGTCACCACTCCCGTATTCAGACACGCCTTTTCTGTGCTGTTTTGCATCTTAGCAAACTTCGAACATATTCCTCCCAAATTTCCTGGAGAGACAATGTGGAGAGGTCAGGAATGCTTCACCTCGGGTGATATTTACAGATCAGCATAAGATAAAGACATTCACACCAAGAGAATGTGCTCATTTCAACTGAGCAAACTCATATCATTGCATTGGGATATAGGGACAGTAATGAACACTATGCAGCCAGGCCGGGGGAGAAGGGCAGGAGGGGTAGTAATGTACAATGTGCATCAGGCCCGGGGGAAGGGGAAGAAGGTCAGGAGGGGTAGTAATGTACAATGTGCATCAGGGTCAGAGTAAGGGGGGCAGGAGGGTAGTAATGTATACTTTGCAGCAGGGCTGAGGGAAGGGGGAGAAGGGCAGGAGGGTAGTAATGTAATTTACAATGTGTATCAGGGTCAGGGCAAGGGGGGCAGGAGGATAGTAATGTATACTTTGCAGCATAGCCAGGTGAAGGGGGGGGAAGCAGGAGGGGTAGTAATGTACAATGTGCATCAGGGTCAGGGCAAGGGGCAGGCGGGTAGTAATGTACAATGTGCATCAGGGTCAGGGCACAGGGGGCAGGAGGGTATTAATGTACACTTTGCAACAGGGCCAGGGGAAGGAGGAGGAAGCAAGAGGGGTAGTGATGTACAATGTGCATCGGGGTCAGGGCAGGTCAGGGCAAGGGGGCAGGAGGATAGCAATGTATACTTTGCAGCCAGGGGAAGGGGGGAAGCAGGAGGGGTAGTAATGTACAATGTGCACCAGAGTCAGGGCAAGGGGGGCAGGAGGATAGTAATGTATACTTGGCAGCCAGGGGAAGGGGGGAAGCAGGAGGGGTAGTAATGTACAATGTGCACCAGAGTCAGGGCAAGGGGGGCAGGAGGATAGTAATGTATACTTTACAGCAGGGCCAGGGGAAAGGGGGGGAAAGCAGGAGGGGTAGTAATGTACAATGTACATCAGGGTCAGGGCAAGGGGGGCAGGAGGGTAGTAATGTATACAGTGTGGCAGGGCCTGAGCAAGGTGGGAAGAGGTGGTAATCATAGGCGTGTGCACAGGGTGTGCCTGGGTACAACCTAATCACCCCGAGCGCAACACTAAAGCTGCAGCAGTGGGCTCTGTGTTTTTAGTCACTGAACCGGTGGAGAGATCACAAAGTACTCTCTGTGACAGGCTCAGTGATACAGAGCGCAGCAGCATTTGCCACTTACATTCCTCACATAACAACCGCAGTCCCCATCCGATCAGGTAGCCCGGAGGGTAGGCAGATGTGATTGTAATTTTATGTGCACATCCTGCAATAGGCTGCGCACGCCTATGGTGATAATGTACATTGTGCAGC